CTGGTCTGACTCAGGGCACATGCAGCTCATTAACCATTAGATGATTCAGACCTTGGTGCCTATACTTCTGCTGGCTGGTTTTCATCAGCAACCAGACTACAGCTTTGAAGGTGTATCATTTATATGATACCATCAGGCACCTGAAGAGGCACACAGGTGTCAGTCACTGGTTCCAAGCTGGTACTAGTTTTAGGCAATACATACTGCCCCCAAATTCTCTTCCCTACATGGCTTTATAATCACATTCACCACAAAAATTCTGACTGTAACAGCCTGCCGCTTCTTTCTCTCCAGGTCTTTCAGAAAGAGGTAATGCACAGAAAAAGGGTCAAAACCAAGACCTCAAGCCGCTGAAACAGGAAGACTGGTAACGGGTCCTGGGCAGAAGGAAGACAATCTCCACATTTCATGCTCAGGAGAGGAGGGCAGGATTTTAGTCCCACCAAAACCAGCCATACACAAACACTAGCCTTTCCCTGCCCCCAACATTCCTCTCCCATTTACTCATAGCCACTAATCTCATTAGAGTTCCTACCTATAGTTAAAGCAGCATAATATCTGATCAGGAATATAGTACGCTGTTTTAAATTAACCCCTTTAATATAAGAATGATTGCTCCAAGAGAATTGTAAGATTTAAAAAATAAAGCATCACTAATGAAATAGGGTCAAAACAGGATTATCAAGTTTCCAAATCTGCATGAAGAAAAAGCAGGCAGTAAAGTAACCAGTTTCCTATAAAATGGCTGTAAAAGTTTCATAGAAAAGTGAAACAAGTACAGATACAATTATATATGGCTTCAAATATTTATTATAGAACACTGTACTTTATAGATGTTAGGAAACAGCACATATTATTTTTGTCTAGTCAATACTTGCTAAAAAGTGAGGAGCAAGATTGTTCTGAACAGCGCTAGTCAGGTTTGTAGATTACAGAGATGAGAGAACACATTTAAATCTTGGCCTCTTTACCAGTCCAGTGCAAGTTACATATAAAAACCTAGGTAAACTTTAGGTCTTCTCCCTCTCTTCTTCAGTCAAAATTCTTCCCATACCTATTTGTTTATTTTTAAAGGAAATTTCCAAACATACCCTGCCCCGGATATACAAGTAAACAAAAAGCAAAACTCCCTCTGACTCAGACATGCAAGCAGGCAGGAGAGGTTAGGAAGTGAATCACTCATTTAACAAACCTATGCATGCACACAGCTTCTGGAGTAACTCGGGTCTGGTGCAGTGTTAAACGCACACGAAGATGGGAAGTGAAGGACATAAAAATGCAGTATCACACCTGCCCACCCCTCCCCATCATACCCCTCATCAATCCCATCCCCAGTTTGTATGCTGGATGCACAAGCATAGAAGCATACCGCCCCCAGCTGAAGGGGACACTGTTCTTCCACCCTTCTGACCCCAATCTCATTGGGCACACACCTGAGAGCCCATGAAGATGGCCTCCCTGAGCACCATGGTCCTGGAAGAGCACTGACATTTCAAACACATTCTTCAGCCTTATCCATTTTACATTTGTAAATGGACCGCATCAGTTCCTAGAGACAGAGCTTGCTGGGACCTGACACAGGCTCTTTGGGACCCACACCAGATCCTGAAGTGCAAAAGCCACCACCTCTTTCACGCTGACCTACCGCCTATACCTACCCCTCCTTCAATTTCTCTGTGTCCAAAGAATAAAGTCATAGATTTTTTTTTTTTGTGAATGGTAGACAACTGTCATCAGACCCTGAAAAGCCCTGAGGGGTCTGTGAGTATTAGCTATTCTTTCTCCTGGCCTAAACTGAGGCAGAGGTAAAATTACATGATTTACCAAAAGCCAAGCTTCAGATCAGCCTGGGCGCTCCAGGCTCACCTGCTAAGCTTCTGCTCCAGCCATTAAATCTTTGAAAGAGATTACGCAGCATGGTGCCCAGTGATAAGAAAGACTGGATTTGAACTCTAAGCCCTTCAAATGCAACATTCCTAAATCAATTACTCTCATTTTCCATCATGCCAGTGTAACACTACAGTGAACTCTGCAGTTGCAGTATTTTCACCTGGATAATCTTTTCAACAATGCCTAAAACTTCAGCTGATTTTCTGATCTATAAAGGGCTCCAATGCAGAAGTTCTGATGCTATTCCATGTTTGCTTAGAAGAGGGTAGAGTGAGTCAACAGGGGTTTTACTTTGTTACTCCATGAAGCATCATTTCAGAAATCACAATGAAACCACCATCAACAATCCAGCTTTCTTCAGTGGGAAAACACACACAGACATGAAAGAACACACAAATTATTTAAGTGTTATACTTCTGCCAACATACACAATATTTTCAGCATGAAAGACCACTCCTCCAGAGACATTTGGCCAATGTCCTCTCAAATGAAGGGCAGAGATTGCTACTTCTCTGACAAGAAACATCTAAACAATGCATACTGCTGTTTGCTGCTTTGGGTTTTGTTTGGTTTTGTTTTCAATTTCAGGTACATCCCTAAATCAAGCTGAATGTATCCAAACATAAGACCTGTTAACATTTTCAAACAGAAACAGCTTTTCAACATTTGCACCTTTTGAACTTCAGGTATTTTTTTTTTTTTTTCCCCTACACAATGTGCTAAGTCTCAAAGACGAAAGGCCACTATTTCCATCCTATGCTGCCTTTTCACACAGCCTTCCCAGAAATTCCTCTAATATAACTGGCATAGAGAAGTCTTTCCTCTCTCCTCAGGATGAGTCACAGGATCCTTCCAGTGCACAAAGGAAGGATACATCACTTCTTGTTCTTCTCAAAGAAATATCACTTTCTTGTTCTTTTCAAAAAAGGAAGATAGGGAAAGAACACATTGGACTGTTACTTATTTGTTTCCCTTTTCCTTGAAAAAATTTGTCAAACAACTAAAATTCTGCCTGGTCATACCAGCATCTGGAATAACGTCCTCACAGACGTGCTCTGTGAATCTCCCTCCTCAAGATCAGTATCTCTGCTGCAGACATCCCCTCCTCCATATCAGTATCCCTGCTCCAGCTTTTATGTATAGAAACAAGTACCCATATGGCTATCTGCCAAGCAGACCTTTTAATAGCTGCTGGGATAAGCTTTGCAGAGTGTTCAGCAATAGCAGCAGCCTCCCTGAAGACGGCATCCCTGAATACGCATCCCACAGCTGGCCAATGCTAGCCCCACTGGCATATACCTGATTCCCAGGCCAACCAGCTATTTCAGCCACCAAGCTGCTGGATCATTCCCAGGAGTCCCGCCTAAACCAGGCAGAAGAGTTTTCTGGTATGGCTTTAGCCATCGGATCACATAACCTCATCACTGTAAGCTGCAGGAACCTGCAGAAGCTAGAGACCACCCTGACATCACACCACTTTGCAATTTCCAGCTTCAAAGCAAGACAATATTCTGAAACATGACTTCAGTGGCAAGTACAAAGGTGGCACAAAAGTGCACAGACAATATACTCTTAAAAACTTGCTGAGAGTTTCCAGTCCACCACTTAACTACAAGCCAAACCACTCTGGGCTCTGTGTACGAAGTCCTGAAGAAGCTTATTAATCGCTGCCGAGTTTCACCCTCACAGGAAACATACAAAGCACAACTCTGCATCTTCTATCCATCAGCTCCCACATTAAACACTTCCTGTTATCTGAACATAATGAAGGTGGTCCATAAAAACACCAGGGAGTTTACAATGAACCAGAACAAATGCAACCAGCACTAGTAAATGCTACATAGGCTACCAATGCCCTGAGAGAAGCACGTGCTTCACTTCAATCAGCAAGTACAACTTCCAAGCAGAGAAATGTCCCCTGGTTAGAGCAGCCTGACAACTATTTATAGTGTGTTGAGGTAGCTGTAACTATCCATCCTGTCCCTACACACAAATCCCAGTGGGAGCACAGACTGCCCAGCACACCTCCCAGCCCCAGCAGGTGTAAAAAAAAAAAAAATCATTCTATCAACAAACCCCAACAAGCACACCCCAAAAGTCTCTGCTGAATAACAAAGGTGATAAGCAAAGGGTTTGTTTGGCTTTGTTTTTCCCCACATACCCACACTTGTCCCATTGCTCTTTGGGTTTAGGGCATGCCTACACTAGCAGGAAAAAACGTTGCACAAGTGCACTGGGACGCTGAACTGGCTACTAAAACCACTGACAGAGACAGCACTGTGCTTTCAAGCTGCTCATTTCAGTCTGAAACAGCGGTTCTGACTGAAAAACAGTGATGAAGATATAAGCAGCCTATACGTGAGTGGCTATTTACCCAAGATGAGCAGCTACCTGCCCAAGATGGAAAAGTTAATGTGTTTGGTTTTGTTTCTTCTCCCCCAGAGAAGTTCTTGTTTACTGTAGTAACCGTGGTCCTTCACGAAGAGTCAGACAGAGCCCCCCACTATTTTAATACTACATAAGCGACATAACACCAAACGCGATATATTTTCACAGGAACAGGCCGAGCAGCTGCATCAAGGGCACGGCGAACACCCGCACGTACAAGTGGCAGCACAGCCAAAATCCCCAGCCCCTGACTTCAGGAGTCACCTCAGAGACGGCTGCTAACCCTCCCAAACTCTGTTCCTTATCATTCCTTACACTCCTCTTTGAAGGAAACTGGTGCCAGCCACGTAACAGCAATAATCTGATAATTTAAAGAAAAAAAAATCCTTTAGAAGACAAGGCAGAAAAGCCACCACTAAACCAACTGGCTACGTAACAAGGCGCAAACACTTGAAGAACAAATGGTCGTTAAACTAACAGCTCACATGCAAGCAGGCGGCTGCCAAACGCGTTCCGATCGGGAAGGGAAAGGCTCCTCTTACCCCACGCCACGCCACCGGGGATGAACGGGCCGGCCGCGGAGCGATGCTCAGGTCCGCTGCCCAAGCTGCCGGAGCCTCACGCCCGACAACCGGCAGCAGGTGGGTGAGCTGGGGCTGCGCCTGCACCCCTCAACAGTTTTCCCCCCTCAGCACAACTTACGAAGTCCTGCTGCGCCATACCTGAGAGCTGAGGTACCTCCTTAGGCAGTCCTCGCACACCGCCTTCTTGCAGCACGACAGAGGCTTGATGGGCTTCTCCTCCAGGCACACACGGCAGCTCAGCACCAGCAGCGGCCCGAACTCGCCCGCGATTAGCCCGGAGAAGGGCTCGGGCAGCAGGTACAAGTCCACCACCTCGATGCTGCCGCCCGCCGACAGCGGGTCGCCGTCTGCCGCCACCCCGCGCCGCGCCAGGGGCTGCCCCGTACCTGGGCTGTCGCTGTCCGTGCCGCCGCGGGTGGAGACGGGGGCCGCCGCCGGCCTGTCGTTCTCCACACAGTAGACTGTGCAGTACAGTTGCCGCCGGGAGGGGCGGCGGCAGCCGTTGCCCCTCTCCGGCCCCGGCCCCTCCTCCGCCAGAGTCGCCGGCTCCTCCGCGGCCGGCTGCTCTTCCGGCCCGGCCACAGCCTCCTCCTCCTCCTCTTCAGCCCCTTGCCGGTCAGGGCTGGGGGCGGTCGGCGGCGGCTCCCCACTTCGCCCCGGCTCGGCCGCCTCGCCGCCCGGGACAGCCTCTCGCGGCTGAGGCGGGTCGTCCGGGCTGAACTCCCAAGGGCGCCCGGCCGGGCTCGGCGGCGCGGTGGTGGCGGCGGCCCCCCGCGGGGCACTCAAAGAGCTCTGTTGTTCCCCCATCGCCGCCCGCCGTCGCTCCTTCCCATCCAGCCGCCTCCCGGCCCCGCTTCTGCTTCCGGGTCCCGAGCCCCGCGGCCCGCAGCACCGAGCCCCGCGCCGCCCGCCCGCGGGCGCTAGCCGCCGTCGCCAGGCCTACGCCCCGCGGGACTGCGGGGGTAGAGAAAGGGAGCAGGGGGTGCTGCTCAGGTCAGCGCCGCCCGCAGGGTCTCGGCCGGAACCCGGTCCCCATGCCGGGGAAGACGCGGGCAGCCCCAGCTAGTGCTGCGGGGCAGCGCGCCCAGCCGCGCCTCGCAGCCGCCCCAATCCGGCCCACCCCTCGCGTTCACCGCCGCCCGCCTGCGGCAGTCCGGCCCACCCCTCGCGTCACCGCCCCCCGTCTGCGGGGGCCGCCCCTACCCGCCCGCTGCCTGCCTGCAGCCCGCTCTGACGCAGCTCTCCTTGGCCTCGCCCCTCATTCAACCGTAAACACCGCGTGCCGCCCGCCCGGCCCCGCCCGGCCCTGAGTTTGGGCCCGCCCCGCCGCAGGGTGCCGGTACCTGCGGCCGCGGAGTTCGGCTGTCCTCCTTCTCTGCCCCCTCCTGCGGGGGAAAGCGTTTGCCGCCGTTCCCTTGAAGCCGTCTGCTGCCCGAACGCACCGAGAGAGAAGTAAGAGGGGGTGTTGGGAGGCAAACACCGGTTTAAACTTCATAACGCTTTTGTGCTCCGAGAGTAATGCCCTCTGAGCAAACTGAGCATCCGCTTAAAAACTGTCCCCCCCAAAAACTAGACGTAGCGAGCAGAGACAGCGCCGCTGTAAGTTACATGCTAAAAAGAGGCGATACAGTGACATTCACAAAAGTAAACAACTAAAACCAGGTGGTTCCACATGGGTACAAAATGGTATCTGGTTGTTCATGTACATGTAGTTAGGGGGATTAGAGAAATGTTTGTGCATTCTGCTCTGAGAGCCTGCATGTACGTCAGTATGTTTGCTTGGAGACGGTATCTCCAGACTTTCACATCATCAGTTACATCATCACGTCAGTGTGTTTACTTGGAGACAGTATCTCCAGACTTTCACATCATCAGTTACATCATCACGTCAGTGTGTTTACTTGGAGACAGTATCTCCAGACTTTCACATCATCAGTTACATCATGACAGATGTCACAGAGCTGATCCTGCAGCAACTGAGTAACTTAAGAGGGGACTGTGCAGTTTTTCCATCCTGACCTTTGTCTAGAGTGTTAATCAGAAGTTAATAAATTCCTCTGCTTGGGAAACCAAGGGGCTGGGCTGACTGGAGTAAGGAGGAGGTCTGGAAGTGGAGAGATGGCAGAGAGATCACCTCTGGCTTGTGAAGGCCCCATCGAATCTGGAGCCATTCTATGCATTTGTCTGGCTCCATGCTTGAACTCGGCAGCCCCCCATCTGTTCTGGAGCACAGGGTGTCAAAGACACTGAATGGGGCCAGCCCAGTTTAGGAGTGATTTGCATGGCACTGGAGTACATATGTGCTCTGGGAAGGTGCTGAGCTCCCTAGAAAGCCACAGGGGAGCCTGCCCTGCCCAAGGCTGGAAGTCGAGGTACCCCAGGCTCTCTGTGTGGCAACTTGCAACATCTGCTGGCATGAGGGCTCTTTGGCTTGGAAATGCTGTATTTCTTCCAGACCCAAGCTGATCTGAAAGTCAGTGTGAATGAATTTGTGTAGTGTGAAGACTGTAGTTACCCCTGCAGGAAAATCAAGTAGATGGCTTCTTTCTTTTTAACAATACATTTATTCAGCTTTTGTTGTTTGAGTCTCTAGAGTGTATGCTCCCAAAGCTTACTTTGAAAATACAAAGTGTAAAACTTCTAATGAGTGAACAAACATCAGAATTTCCTACACTGCTGCCACTCAAGAAGCTGGAGCATAAAGAAAAACCTTGAAAGATAATGTTGTTGCAAGAGCAAGCAGTAGTTCAGAAATGTGTGTGCTAAAGCACAGCAGGGGAAAAATAGTCCTGGGGAATTCAGGCCGGGAATGCTAATTGTGCTTAGCTGAGGGGAAGCATTAGGCAAATATGAGTTACACAATTCCCTGTACCCAGCCACAGCCCCTGCTGGTGCCAACCATGAACAGCTTGTTCACGGGGCATGCTCGCCCCAGTTCCCCACATCACCCTACTTCTGGCTTGGACAATGGGACTAGCCCTGGGTGGTGAAGTCCTGCTAGCAGCCCCTGAGGGGGCCCAGCACTCCCTGCCACAAGGCTGCTAGACATATGTATGCTTTGCAACAAGTCTTGGCTATACTCTGTGTACATTCTTTCTGAATTGTTTGGGTTGGAAAATACCTTACAGATCACCTAGTTCCAACACCCCTGCATGGACAGAGACCTTCCACTAGACCAGGCTGCTCAAAGCCCCACCCAGTCTGGCCTTAAACACTACCAGGGATGGGGCAGCCACAGCTTTTCTGGAAAACCTATTCCAGTGCCTCACCACTCTCACAGTGAAGAATTTCTTCCCAATATCTAATCCAAATCTACTCTTTTTCAGTTTAAAGCCTTTTCCCCTCATCCTGTCACTACATGTTGCATGGCACTGATCTGTTTCCCACAAAAGCTGGTGAGAGAACAAGTGGTCAGCAAGGGATTCTGGTACTGTTGCTCAGTACACTGCTGGTATTTGCCTGCGTGTGTGAAGAGGGAGCCTGTACAGAGCTGAATGTGTGGTTCCCAAACAAGCTGACTGATAGCTGACGATATATCCTAGGCTGGCTGTTGCCCAGGTTTTGAGAAACCATGAGTCAGATTTGCATCCAGAGTGAGTCTGTTGCTAAAACCTTTGTTCTAAAAATGCAATTTTAGATACATTTTATACTCTCTGTAGAGCACATCTAGACTTTAAACAAACTCTCATGGAAGAGAGCAGCATTACCAGATTTGCATGAGATAACAGATTTAAAAAAATTACCCTACAGAGAGAAACCTTTTTCTTGCCAAATGCTTTGGTTTATGAGAACTTCATCGTGTTTGAGCACAGTTGTGTGGAACTGAGTCTAGTTACTTAAAAGATTACTTTTCTCCCTGTGATATACTGCCAAGTTGAGCTCCACAGAGGTTCACACATTTGAGCTCTGCAAATGAAGTATGAGGAACCAGCTGGCAGGGAGTCATTCTCTGTAAGGGATCCCCAGTTTTGGAAAGCTCTGTCCACCATCATCCACCAGAACCTGGATTTGCTTACCTCTGGGAAAGCGGCAAAGTCCATCATTTTTTTCTTTCTTGTTAAAACTGTTGGAGGGTTTGGTTTGAATAGGTATGTTTATGGATGGTCCTTTTACTCATGCCTGACTTAAATTCCTCAGCTGAGATCCATGGCAGGCCCTTGTTTTTTCACAAATAAATGTAATTGACTGCTACAGTTCTGGTAATGCATGAATTTAGGGTTGGTTGTTGTTTTTTCACACTGAACAAAGATGTTGTGGTGGCTATTGCATTGATGAATTCAGTTTTTCCCATTTTGCAAAATTTTACAGTATTGCCTGAGACTTCCCAACCTTCCTTTCCCCCCCCCCCAGTTCCTTCTTTCCTCCCTTCCTTTCTTTCCTTTAATCAAAGAGCACAAGCTTACATAAAACTCCAGCAAAAGAAAGTACTAGGCTATACATCATATAAGCAAATTGCGATGCACAATCCCTGAAGCAGTTCTACAGTAAATTTAAATAGTGGTTGGATACTTTTAGCAATACAGCAGAGCTAAAGCAGGGTAAACTGTCTTTGTCAGCTGTGTACATGTATCTATACATATCTTTGTGTGTGTGTGTATACACATAGAAAAGGAGGACTCAATTTCCCAAGGCTGTAGTTCTTGAGACTTCATGAAAATTACTTCTACTAAAAATAATTAGTATTTTTTAGGATGAGTAATTAACATTCATTCTTCTGTGCTCATGCTGATGGCCTCTGAGGAAATTTGAACTCTTATTTTCCTGTGTATAGCAATAGGTAACTGGCAGCATGATACTGGGTCAATGGGTGTAGAAATTAATTAGGGGGGGCTTGGTTTTTTTACCTTAGTACTGCTTTTTTTCAAAGTATTTAGAATTTTCATTTTCTGTTTTGCCTACCATTGCAGAAGTATTCTGAGCACATTTCTGAATTGTCTTTAACCAAATATTTATATTTATCTTGAAAATGAAATAAAAATTCAAGTTCTCATGTTTTCCCCTCAACACTTGTAATTCTCATTATTCTATATGCTCCACATATGTCATTTTACATTCTCCAGAATACATCCTGTATATGCCACTTACACTCTGGATTTGGTTCTGCTTTCAGAAGTCATAAACTGTCTATGCTGGATTGACAGTTTTCACAAAAAAAAATCTATAGCCTTCTGTGACAAAACCTTGTAGCAGTAGTATAACAGTCATAACATTTTCCTGGGACCGCCCAATGAGAACAGAACTCTTAAAGCTTCTCCTTCATCTACAGTTCTGAATTTAGATGGATGCATGGGCATTTTGGTGGTAAAGAAGACATAGTTGTATGACTCACCTAGGAAAAGCATCCTAGCATCTGAATTATACCCTACAAAAGAAAGTATCCTTGACAGTACTTGGTTTGAATAGTTCCTGCAGCTAGAAGGAAACTATAGTTATTTGCTTGGGTCTCTCTTCATCTTGTGAGGTGAAAAAGTCATGTATGTTCTCCAGAAAGGGCAGGTTAGAAAAAGGTATGCACTAGAATAGTTTCTTATGAACATCCTAATAAAATCAGGATTATGTGCCTAGTTTCATTGTTACAGTATTTATTTTGAAAACAGTGCCATTATTTTTATCTAGCACTATGGAAACAACCTTCAAAATATAACTATGTATCTTGAAATATCTCCAGAAATTCCAATAAATAGCTTTTGCATATGTGTTCATTTGAAAGCTTTGAGCCACCACAGTCAATTGACACAATTCACTGCAATTGCAAGATAGATATATTAATGTATATGAGTTTCTTTAAGCAGAGAGAGCATTGACTAAATGAATCAAACATTTTGGACCACATATGTGCTTAGTAACCATATCTGGGCTAAGGACAGAAAATGCTTTTCTAAAATTTATGGATCTTTCCAAACAGATCTTATGTCTGACGTCATCTTTTAAAGGGTACCTACAACCTCAATACATCCTCCTTAATGCTTCTATGTACCTCTAACGCTGTTGGTTTGTTTTTTTGTTTTTTTTTTTTTTATTCTCTGCCTGCCTCACTTTTTTTTATCATCTTTTTTCCTATCACATCTTTTCTTCCTAAAATACCACAGTGCTCTGTGTTTAGCCTTTAGCTTTGTAGACAGACTCAGGACCATGTTTCTGTTCCTCATCTTGCTGAATCCCGTTTGTCATTGAGGGCTAGATGCACAAGCAGTTTAATCTTAAAACCACACCCAAACAATATATCAGCATTAACCTGGAATGAAATGCCTCAATGCACATTCTGGATGCGATAGAGTCATTCTGAGGAAGCTGAAGTTATTTACCACCGCCAGCAGCAGTACAGGCATGAGACCGTTCCAAACTACATCAGCATTTTTAGACTCTCCCAAAGAAAGAATCCTTCATTACTGCATTATTTTTATTAATATGCCTTTGAAGTTATTTTATAGTAATAGCTGGCCACAGGATTACCTGACAATAGCCCAGCAAGAGTAATTCTCCTGAAGGGCAAATATATTTTATAGTTATTATTGTTTTAATTAACTATGAAGAATGACACACAAATAGAATATTTTGTAAAATAAAGACTTAGAAGCTATGTTTTCAAACATATTGTGATTAATTCTCTGATGTGCAAATTGCTATCTTTTCCTTCTTAGCTTCAGGCTTGAAAAGCAGTT